AGGGTGCCACTTACTGGTAGAGAGGACGTGGAAGCGGATAGGAAATAAAGGTTCGAAAGGAAACCGCGTAGATGTACTCTACCAGGTCATGCAGGAGGTATCGCTTAGGCCTGAAAGAAAAAGCAACAAACATCATAGCTAGGTGAGGTATACAGCTAGAGACAAAAAATTTTAAGTCCCCCACTCCAAGCCTATCAAGGGCCTGTTTCTTCAGTCTAAATTTGTCATTTTCCTTACAACAGGGGAACAAATTTTGGCTGTCCGAATTCTTTACTGTTTGAAATAAAGAGGGATTAAGTTAGAAAACCATATGACCCAACATCAGCAATGGTAACAGTGCAAATCACAAACTGCAAAATCACTTGGTCACTGCACTAGCCGCAGGTGCCCACGTGCTGCCTGGAGGGGGACTGCGGCGGCATCCTCTGTGGAGAGGCTGGGGCTGCCCCACGCTGGGCAGAGCTCCTCCGACTGCCCCCCTGAGGCAAGATGTTGGTGCCTCTGGGAAAATGTATTTAAGGAAGGGCATAAATGCCACATGGGCAGAGAGGAGTGAGGAAAAAAAAGTGTAAGAAACAGCCCTGCAGACACCGGGTTGAGAGCACTATGAGGGAGAGGAGGTGCTCCAGGTACCCGAGCAGAGATTTCCCTCAGCTCACAGAGAGCCCAGCCTGAGCAGGTTTATCCCAAAGGACTGCAGCCTCTGGGAGAGCACTTGCTGGGGCTGGGGGAAAATGTGAAGAGGAAGGAGCAGCAGAGGGGAGCTGTTACAGACAGAGCCCATAACCTGCTGTTCCCCATCTCCCTGTGCTGCTCCAGGAGAGAGGTAGAGGAGTCAGGAGTGAAGTTCAGCCTGGGAAAAGAGTGGAAGGGAGAAGGTGTTGTTTTATTCCTTTTGTCTTTATTTCACACTATTCAAATCTATTTTCATTGACATTAAATTAATCTTTCCCAAGTCAAGTCTGGACCATGACAGCAGCCATTAAGCAATATTCCCCATCTTTTCTATCTCAATCTATAAGCTTTTCATACTATTTTAACCCACTGTCCTGTTGAGGAGAGGGAGTGAGCAGCTGGGTGAGCATCTAGCTGCTGGTCAAGGCTAATCCACCACGATCACACCAGATGAAGTATATATGGTGTGTTTTTAAAGCACACCTTTAATGTGCCTCTGCCATGTTGACTCAAATTCTGAACACAAGATTTTCAGTGCATAGACAGGAATGAATTTGCACAAGCCCACTGGGCAGTTTGTAAAAGAAGGAAGCCAGAAAGTTTATGGTAAAATTAAAAAAGGTTTGTTAACAAGACATCCCACTTTTGGTAGCAAATGGCTGCAATGGAATTGATTCACTTGCCTTTGGCTCGACTAAGAACATACCGTTCTCTTCAAATGCAAGAGGAAGAAATTAAGATAAATTCCCCCAAAAGAATGCATTCCCCCTCTCAAGATGGAGGGAAGGAAGTAGTCAGTCTCCTGCACACCTGCAGTAGTTCAAGCGAAACATGTAACACTGGGAGTTCCCATTCCTTTCTTGTTCAGGCTTCCCCTTAGCATTTTAATACTCCATCCTTTATAGACGGCTCAGATTGAGAGAGACATCTCCCTTGCCTTTCATGGTATCCTACAACATTCTGAAAGACGACAGAACCCCAAATTACTACTACTTTAGCCTGTAAAAGCAAATTAAGGCAAAACATTCTAACAGATATACTTAAAGGTAGCTCAGTAGATCTGGAAGAATTCCAAAGAATTCAGCACTCAAAGCTCCTTATCAACTTCATCCAGGTGGCCAGCTTACAGAACCCCAGAAAGATTTGCATTTATGAAGCTACACTAAAGGACCACCATCAAAAACAAGATAGTAAGCTTTCTTCTGTTATTAGAACTTAAAACAGAAACAAAAAGCAGTAATGTCAATTTTACTTAGCTGAGAAGAAAAATCACTTCATTTTCATTAGTTATTAGCAGGGTTTTTTTACAAAACTTTTTTTTGTCCTTACACTTAAATATCCTCGTGCCTATCCAGAGGCTGTATAAGGCAATTTCACATTTATCCTGGTATGGAAGAATGTATACTACAGCAAAACTTAAAATGTGAAAATAAATACTGCTTGTTCCCTTACAAATTACCAAACATTAACAATACAACTGCACCAAGAATAGAATCACATTGAAGTGTCATTACATTAACCACAATACTAGCAGACAGTAAGCTCTAGTGAGCATTAGCATTCAAGACAGAAGATTGAATGAGTGGCTGAAGCAAAACCAATGCCATTAGGGGAACCGGTACAAAAAAAAAATCTGTTCCATCATAGAGCAGGAAGGGAAAAAAATCCCACCAGAACCACAGAAACAGAATGCCATTTTACACAATTAATACTTTATACTCAAACTAGTAACTTCTTTTAAAAAACAAAAAAAGTGTCTCATACAGCTTTAGTCAAAGGTTATGCTGCAGAGTTCCTCTGGTTTTCCAACACTGATTTGGATATTTGGTTTACATTATCATTTATTCAAGGTCTTTTCACTCATTGTTACATGTCTGAAACTGTATTCCTTGCAGTGAGAGCCTGGCATCCTTGCTTGAATTCCTGCCTCTGAAACCTGGGCACTGAACTCCTGCCCTTCGTTAAAGTGCCAAAAATCTGAGACTTTGAAACTGTAAGAACACATTGAAAGTTTAGCCAATTGCTCCTTTTGTTTGGCTGAAGCGTGTTCTATTTAGTGTTCAATTCTCAATTTCATCTGCAGTTGCAGCAGTTGCTTCTACCAAGAAAGCAATAAACCTAAACAGGCCCCTCTCCTTCCTTTTGTGGGAGGTGGCTTTGGACATATATTGACCCATCTTCACGTTTGTGCTCATGAGATAAAACCCTGACTCAAGCGGTTAATTTCATCTCATTTTGTAGTTTTGCATTAGATGTATCCACCTAACACTATGTATCTATTATCTTTGCTAAAAAATTGGTTTTAAACAGCTGTCTACGTTTTTAACGTGACATCAAATATCCCAGTGACTTCCTGCTTTCACTGACATCCCAGTGAAAGCAGCTTCAAGTTACTTAAATAACCTTACTGTTGCTGTTCTAGCCCTTTCAGCCCACCATTAGCTTCTGTCTCTTATTTGGCTAGTTTCTGAGCAGTAGCTCCTCAGCATGATCCAGAAGAAGCTGAAGACCTGCTCATTGCCTTTTCCAGACCACCAGCATGCAGCACACCCAGCCTAGCTGCCACAGTAACCTCTCCCTCAACAGCTCAGTCACAGCACTGAGGAAAGGGGCATTGCACGAGTAAAAGACGAAGCAGCCACAATCTCCACGCTATGGAAATAAAGAGTTGTCACTGGATCCAACAGCATCAAAAAACAAACATGGAAAAAAAAGTCATCGCAGATAACCCTTTTGCAAAACAAAGATTCTATGTGTGTTTTTGGTGTGTGAAGGGGGAAAATGGATACGCACGAAAGAGAAAAAAAAGAGAGCTGTTCAGCATCATTTATATCTCGACTAATTAGCAACTGTTATCTTTATCAATGGATCTAATGTTCCTTTAACCACATATATTGGATGACAACCAGCTCCACTGCTACACTACATGCTTTGCATGGACCCATTACTTTGGCACTTGCCACACTGTTTATTCTTAACGCTAATGAACCAAGTTAAACCTTTTGTACACAAAAATCTTTCAAGAGATCCACTGTTTCTACCCATTTTAATTCCAGGTGGATTCCACACAGCTTTAGCAGAATTTTCTCCAAATCTACGTCGTCTAGCATGTTCCCCCCAAGACTGCCTATTTCTTAGTGCGCACACACATAATGTTAAATGCAATGAGGCCCAGACTAGGATTTTCAGAGTACTCACAATAACAGCTTGAGTCATTTTTCCTCCCAAAAAGGAGGTGGAATGTATTGCAGCTCAAACTGTGTGCACGGATGGAGAAATTAAATGTACTGTGCAGCATGCCAAAAAATGACACCAAAAAGAAGTACTTCGGTTAATTAGAATCAGAAAAGTAACCTACCCAGCCAAGGCGTATGTTTTCCCTTTAGCATCAGGATCCTTAATTGCATTAATAATTGCCTTTGCCACATCAGCCACCTGTGAGGAACAAATTCATACAATTACCAACAGAAAACAGGACTGCATCAACGCACTCCTCTTTCAGAAGTGATTTAAAGAGGGAAAAGAAAAAATTCAATACACACACACACACAAAGGATTTGGGATTGTCTTGTTTTACTGAAAACTTACATATATTGGCTGCTTCACTGTTTTTTTTCCCAGAGCAATAAGAGGCACACCGCCAAACCAGCGCATGTCTGATAGAGAGACACATATATAACTTGAGAATTAAATCTGCCAATCCTTTCAGTATGAAAATAACCAATACATTTTGCACTATGCTGAAAATTGACTTAACTTTTAAAAAAACAAAACAAAAACAAGATTAGGAAGAACTACCATCCAATTCCAGTAACGCTGTTTTCAATGCACATTTAGTTTTCTTATTAGCGACAGGAAGGCTGTATTTGCTGTTTAGTTAGAGTAGTTCAGGACATCTCAGCTTTACAAGACAGAAGAAGATTCCACTCTACCCTGTCTAGCAATTTTGCTGGTGATACACCAGAGTCGTTACTGTTGCTTGTGAGCCCAGAGCAAATCAGGTCGATTTTTACATTCCAGCATTACCAAACTGAAAAACTACTTTCAGGGTAAACTACTTTGAGGGTTAAGATGACCAGACCTCAGCTCAGAACAATCTAAATGAAAAAAATAAAACAAAAAAAACCAATAAACCACACACATCCCTCCATCAAAAAATAAACCAAAGAAAATCATACATCAAAGTCTAACCAGATTCAAAAAGAATTCAGTAAGGAGACAAAAAGTTATTGTTTCCCATTACAGACCTTTAGTTAACAAAATAAAGTACATTCCTGATAAAAACTTACTTCTGCTTTTCAGAAGCAAATCACATTTTCCCTCTGTTCTCTAGACAGGTATACAAATTGTATGTGGTTTTACTATTTCAAGAGTACATACTTGCATAATGATTGAGAAATCGGTCCTCTCTCCCAAACATCTCGGAGGGCTTCAAAATTATAGCATCTGGAAATTCTTCCCTCACTGTTTTCTCTCCAACAGCCTATCATTCAATTAAAATTAATGTATTCATTAGATTCATTCTCAACAGACCAAAAGAGGATGCCTTTTCAGAACTTAATGCATCCTGACTACAGCACTGAAAGAAATGACATCATCAGTAGCACAAAAATTATTTATATCTGACCCACTTGATCTTTGAGATGCTAGGCTAAGATAAAGGTCTTGCAGAACATCCCAGAAGTCCCATAAACACATCACAGAATCATCATAGAATTGTCCGGGTTGGAAGGGACCTTAAAGATCATCCAGTTCCAACCTCCCATCATGGGCAGAGACATCCCCCACTAGATCAGGCTGCTCAGAGCCCCATCCAGCCTGGCCTTAAAAACTTCCAGGGATGGGGCTTCCACCCCCTCTCTGGGCAACCTGTGCCAGTGTGTCACCACCCTCATGGGGAAGAACTTCTTCCTAACGTCCAAATTGAATCGATCCATCTCTAGCTTTAATACATTCCCTCTAGTCCTATCACTACCCGACATCCTAACAAGCCCCTCACCAGCCTTCTCCTAGGCCCCCTTGAGATACTGGAAGCCACAATAAGGTCTCCTCGGAGCCTTCTTCTCTGCAGACTGAAGAGACCCAACTCTCTCAGTCTGTCTTCACAGGAGAGGTGCTCCAGCCCTCTCATCATCCTCGTGGCCCTTCTCTGGACACGGTCCAGCACGTCCGTATCTTTCTTGTAATGGGGGCTCCAGAACTGGACGCAGTACTCCAGGTGGGGCCTCACAAGTGTGGAGTAGAGGGGCAGAATCACCTCCCTCGACCTGCTGGCCACGCACCTCTTGATGCAGCCCAGGACACGATTGGCTTTCTGGGCTGCAAGTGCCACTGACGGCTCATGCTGAGTTTCTCGTCCACCAGGACCCCCAAGTCCTTTTCTTCCGGGCTGCTCTCAAGCCCATCACTGCCCAGCCTATATCAGTGCTCGGGATTCCCTCGACATAGATCATTTGTTCTGACCGCGATACAATACAGTCTCACTAGTGAAGTGACACAACTTTAAAGTGGCAAAGTTCAAAAAGGAAGAAGCCTAACCTAAGCACCTCTCTTGTTTATGTCAGACCAGAGCTTGTAAGGAAACAAAATGTTTACATAACCCCTACTACATTATCAGAAAACTCCAACTGCCTAAGCACAGTTAGACATTCCAGTGGCAGCTATCTACTTACAATGGGCTGGCCAATTCAGTAAGGCCTACCCATCCTATAGAGTGCTATCAAATTTTTAACCGCCTTTTTAAAAGAACTTTATGCTAAAGACAAGGCAGAGTACAGTGAGCTCAAGCGAAATAAAAACAGGTCAAACTTGGACAATGGCTATATTGAAAAGAGAAGATCATTCCTCCTAATAAGGAAAAAAATAACAGGACAACAAAACCAGATAATGGCTTTTTTGTACAGGGCAGGTGACAATCCCACTCCAAGGGCCTGTAATCACAGTCCTCATCTGTCTCTGCAGCATTCATGTTGGCATCAACTACTTACTTTGTTAGGTCACTCCAGCCTTAGATGTTAAGCCTGATATCAGATCCCAAACCATCAAACCAGTTCTTTCCTAACGACAGTCATTTTAGATGCAAAGATATTCAAGGGCAGAAGAAAGTTTTCAAAAATACAAGATCTATTCCCCTTCAAAGCACATGAAGTACTATGGATTTCTAACTCCAATAAGCACAGTAACTCAAAAATTCCTCAGCTGCAGAAAACATTCCACAGTAAATTCATACACAGATTTCCTTCAAATAGACCCAGTTTCAGGGCAGGGGATGGGGATGACACACCAACATCAAAACAGCAGGCTCCCAGAAAATATATTCAAGAGGATTCCAGACTTACTTTACTCCTGAGGTATTTGGAAGGACTCTTCATACTGGCATTCAGGTGAGAGATATGAATGAGTGTTTCCACACCAGCTTCTCTAGCTATCTGTGCAATACGTGCAGGAATATTTACAAATTCATCTTCAAAACTGAAGTTTCTAGACAAGGGCAAAACCCAAAATTTTACTTTAAAAGCAATAAACGATGGCTGCATACCAACCAAATAGCAAAAATTACATATTACTTGAATATATTTCAAAAATCTATCTTTACAGGGTTTTTAGAAAGTTTCTTTTTATTAGAGACACTTTGTGTAATAAAAATTAGACGTAACTGAGCTTCAGTTACAGGGTCTGCTTTTTTACCTCTTAAGATTAAATAAGTATGAAAAATCCTCTTGCTCACCAGTCTCTGACAAATAGAAAACTTTTCCCAACGGAAACCAGAATTTAAAAAATTTTTTTAAGGAACTGCTGCATTTTGAAATCTGAGCAAAGCTTTTTTACACTACCTGCTCAAAATTTGACTTGACTTCATGAACTCCGTTATACTACAAAGCAGTTAAAAATTTTGGAGCAGTCTAAGTTAGGGCAGACGCCGGGCATGGGGTAAGTGGGCAAAACCAGACCAAAGAACACACACAGGTGCTTATGCAAACGGAAAATTTTACATTGACAGAACAGTCAGAACCATTTCACAGCAGCTGTAAGAAACTTCAAGGAGAAGCAGGCAGGAAGAAAAACAACTCCACTCACTTTATGGCATTCAAGGGGCCTAAATTAGGGGATTCAACTGTAATCTAGTTTGGCATCTAATCAAGAACAATACAGAAGCTCTGTCTCCAAGCAGAACTGACACTATAGGCTGGCGACAGCCCCAAAATTCTCCACCAACTATCTCAAGACTGCAAGAACAAGAGCTGAGTTCTCATGTCTTTATATTGTCCTTGTAAGCACACTGCTCCATCTTTTCCATTTGCTTTGGGTAACAAACATCTTGTCCAAATGCCTGTCTCTCTGGCCTTATCTACTCCCACAGCTCTTCAGATCCCACTGGAGTCTAAAGAAAGCCTTAAAAATAAAAAGTTATTTTTGACCCTTCAATTACTAATCTGATCCTGGGAACCATCACTCCTGTTCTACTCACGAAAATAGATTTTACAAACACACAAGAACGCACAGCATCCCTCCTGTAACTATGGAGTTTTCAAACAACATCGTATACACAGATGAGACTGTACACTAATACTAGGCAAGGAGGAAAGTAATGGCAGGCTTTAGTTTTTTTGACTGATCTTTACTTCTAATTTTACTTCCCCCGCTCCCCTGCCCTCCACTTAAGTTTTTCATAGACTTTGGGATGATTACAGTGGTTAGTCTGACCTCATGTTTAACAGAACACAGAATTTTATCTCAGGGTTCCAGCACCACCATTGACACCAACACGTATAAAATATGTAACTTTTGTGCAATACAGTGGTCAGTTTTGGAACAGTTAGAAGCTTTTAACATGTTCCAAGACTCATCTGTCTTTGAATCTGTTGTAACTGTGACAAGGTTTGGGGTTTCTGAACTACAATGAAACTTCTTGTTGTTGCACTTCCTTTCAATAACAAAGAAACTATCCCTTTTATGTCATACTTTTTACATGAGTCCTAAAATTTTAAAGGTGGAAGTACATGAAATATATATCTGAAAGAAAAACAGAGATTACATTGTCCTTGGGACAACTGCGCTGTCTTTTCCTTGTTCCCTCCCACATTACATAAGAAATTCTTCTGTTTTGACAGCAATAAGCACTTGAACTCTTATATTCATAATTTAGTAACGGTGCAAAACAATCCTGCCATGTTGGCCTGTACATTTTTACCCATATCCCAAAGTCTGAAGATATAAAAAGAACCTAAAACCTTGTCAGATGCACAAGGCCAAGGCTAATTGAGGTTTGGTGGGCTTTTCCCTAAATAATCTATGTTGTAGACTCCAACAGTGGGCCAAGGAGCTAAGTGACTATCAGAAAAAGAAAGCACCTCTACCCATTTGGACACGAAATCAAAGTGTCTCTCAGAAGTTATGTATGATATTTGACTAGACAAGAAACAGCTGAAATAGTACATCTGTTGGCAAGCACCTATTTTAGGGAAGATAATTGTACTATTTGGGACTACTAATTCTATTAATACAATTTGACTTCCAATTCTACAATCTGAATATCAAATGGATGTTCACAAAACAAAATAAACAAAAGAAAACAAATAAAAAAAGAGAGCAACAAAGGCATTACGCTTGTAAATGTAAATGAAATTGTCTACTACAACTGCAAAACTATGTACTGTAGTACTGTATAAGAGCAAATCAGACAACTAATGAGGTTTCTGTCTGGGAGTTTTGCACAGGGCTTTTGATTAAAATAATTGCACACATGCAATTAAAAAAATATATGAGGCTATTATAGGTATTTTAAAAATAAAATAAATATGGGATTTTTTAAATATATTTCAAAAAACTATTTTTAAAAATTATTTACCAGAAAATGCTTTTTTAGCTAATAGTGTCTATGCCAAAATTCTATCAAGGAATTATTAGTCATAATCTTAGGGACTCTCCATTAGCTATTCCTGTGTATTAAAATTTAACAGAGAATAGGAAAAGACTGATTATAGGTTATTCTAGTGGGCTACAATGCATCACTATGCCAAAGTGACAAGATGAAAGTCCACTTCTGTATAAATGTACATATGAGCTCACAGAAACCAGTGAGCCTTCGTCAGCTACAGGAAGGCACCCATGAAACATTTGTAAGGTGTACGAAAGCAGCACACTGAACTCTGATGGAACAAAAGCTGTACAATAGAAAATCACAGAAGGAATGCACTTTTCAAGAGCAGGTAACCACCAGGACTCTAGTTGACCACTTAAAGAAACGGAAGAACTTTTATATGCAAAACTTTAGTTTTGCCTTTTCACAGAAGCCAAGAATGTCAGCGTCCCTGCATACTGCACACATGCTGTAAACGTGGCTACAATGCCCAATACTTGATTCAAATCAAGGGGGGAAGGAAAATTACTTGGTTTCCCATTCCTTTCCAACAAGATTAATGACCACATTGCTGTGTTCCACGGCTCTTCGGATAGAGTCTTTGTCCTTGCAGTCCCACTCCTGCAACCAGAGCATCAAATGGGAAAAAGATGAGATAATGTGTAAATAGGCATAATCAAAGAAAGCTCTTTCACACTATTTCCATTTAGAGGCTAAACAATAGCTGGAGTTCTGACTTTGAGAATGATTAACAGACTTCCTTGTATAGCAATGGTATTGTATTTGATCTAAAGCCAAAGCCAAAGACTTACTAAGAAGAGAAGTTGCCCCAGGTCACCCATCGGCCGCAGATACATGAGGTCATACTGATCACAGCGATAGGGTATGATTACTTGAGATCCAATGCGACCTTAACATTCAAAAAAAAAGTTTCATTTATCTTCAAGCTATTCTGTAATTTTAAGTAGATGAACTTCTCAATACATAAAACTTCCTTTTTACACTGGCATTAAAGCACAACAAATACACACAGATATCTTGAATAGTTATCTGCAAAGCTAGAAGTAGAACAGAAATAGCTTTTTGAACCTACACCACTGGAATTCTTAAGCAGGGACATATTTGTAAGACGAAACACAGAAGCTTGCAAAAAGTTTGTTAACGAAACATCACAGTGTGTGCTACAAATATAATACAATACCTAAAAATGTGTCACATCTAAGGATATTTGCATTTTTAAAGTTGCATGGAAAGGATAAGAGAAAAAAGCAAGTGTTATTTTCTAAAACTTAAATTCAAAAGGGCAATTTCGAAGAATTCCAATCAAATTCCTGCAAATATTTTAGTAAAACGGCCTAATAAGGCCAAAACCAGAAGAATCTAATACATGTTTTACCTCTCCTCAGATCTGCATTTTACAGACTGAAAAATAGAGCTTGATGGAGAATGACTAATTCTAATGACTTTAATAAGCTTCTAAATTTCCCAGATTACAACAGTTTTTACTAATTGTCACATCTTGACACTCTAGCAGAACAAACACTACAAAAGTACCACACAAAACATTTAAGATCCAAAATGCCAGATTTACAGATTATCCTGCAACATGAAGAAAAAGCAGAGCTTCAATAAAAAAATTTTATTTCTTTTAAATCAGTATTCCTGGGGAATATTACCTAAACGGTTGACAACATAACGTCCTAGGAAACCTGTAGCCCCAAAAACAGTGGCCACGATGCCACTAACAGAGGATCGGCCACTTCTTCCATGAGGCATCACTGCATGGTGAACCTGGCGGTGCTGTGGCAACACAGACGGTGCTGCCGCTAACACAGAAAGGCCAGGGCCTGCAACACAAAACAAGAGAGAGAATGTGACAGTAGCTAAAAGTCAGCAGTGTCAAAACACAGTTATCCTTATTTTTCTCATTATGGATCCATTTTTTCTAATCTCAGCAAAAATTTCCTGAGTCAAGACTCCTGAGAGGCTATTTCAGAGATATCTGGATAGCTCAGAGTGCAGCAGTGACCTGTTGATAAAAGGCAAAGACTAAATCGAGAATAGTCACCACATGCAGGTCCCACCCAAGTACATCCATATGGGCTGCATCAAGAGGTGCATGGCCAGCAGGTCAAGGGAGGTGATTCTGCTCCTCTACTCCACGCTTTTGCAGACCCACCTGGAGTACTGCGTCCAGTTCTGGAGCCCACAGCACAAAAAAGATATGGATGTGCTGTAGCATGTCCAGAGAAGGGCCACAAGGATGATGAGAGGGCTGGAGCACCTCTCCTATGAAGACAGACTGAGAGAGTTGGGGTTGTTCAGTCTGCAGAGAAGGCGGCTCCGAGGAGACCTTATTGTGGCCTTCCAGTATCTCAAGGGGCCTACAAGAAAGCTGCTGAGGGGCTTTTTTAGGATGTTGGGTAGTGATAGGACTAGAGGGAATGGATTGAAGCCAGAGATGGATCGGTTCAAATTGGACATTAGGCAGAAGTTCTTCCCCATGAGGTTGGTGAGACACTGGCACAGGTTGCCCAGAGAGGGGGTGGAAGCCCCATCCCTGGAAGTTTTTAAGGCCAAGCCGGATGGGGCTCTGGGCAACCTGGTCTAGTGGGGGATGTCCCTGCCCATGGCAAGGGGGTTGGAGCTAGATGATCTTTAAGGTCCCTTCCAACCCAGACAATTCTATGATTCTGTGATTCTATATCCTGTTCCAAGACCTGGGAACTGCAGGACAAAGACCTCAGAATTGCTCTAGAGGCACTTAACCAGACTTTCTACCTCAGTGTCACTATAGAAGACCCAAACGTTGGAAGAGGCAGCAATCCTCCTACATCATAGCTCTGGAGTGAAGGAAAATTATAAAATATAAAGAGCCAGATCCATGATGCCCACAATACTGCCTCAAAACTGCTAGGAAAATCTGAAAGCCCCTGTAATAGGACAGCATTAGGATACTGAGATAAATTGACAAGGTAGCTCCAACAGGGAGTTTGAAAAGAAAGAACAGATGTCCTCTCCAACCAAGTGAGCCAAAAGCAAAAAAATAAACAGCTTGTAAGAGGTTTTGGAAATCAGAAGTGTTTAGTGTCACTACATGTCCATGCTCATGCAAAAAAAGGAGCAAATGAAATACAGAATGCATAAACATACTAACTACAGACATATGGCTGTTGACAAGAGCAGACGATAAGAGCTGTCTTTGGAAAACTAGCTTGAGGATGTAACAGAAATCCAGTAACTGACCTTCCAACTTCTAGTAAGTCACACCCATAAGTGTTTTTTGGATAAGAATACACAAGTCTAATCTTCCCCATATAAATCTAAGTAGCAAGAATCATCATGAAAACAAGATCTGAGGGGTGGGTGTCAAGGGGAAGGAGACAATCTCTTCTCAGTGGTGCCCAACAATAGAACAAGAAATAACAGGTTTAAGTTAGAGCATAGGATGTTCCACCTCAACATGAGGAGAAACTTCTTTCCTGTGAGGGTGACAGAGCACTGGAACAGGCTGCCCAGGGAGGTTGTGGAGTCCCCTTCTCTGGAGACTTTCAAAACCTGCCTGGATGCGTTCCTATGTGGCTGCCCCAGGGGATCCTGCTCTGGCAGGGGGGTTGGCCTAGATGATCTCCAGAGGTCCCTTCCAACCCCTGACATTCTGTGATTAGGAAACAACAACAACAAAAACCAATCCCACTTGTACACTAAAGGAGTACATCTTATCCTGATAGAATCAGGTATATTACCAGTTACATGGTGGCACTAATGCTGTAGCCATGATATTAAGAAGATCAAAAGGCCAGGGTACGTTTGGATGTAAATTATATTTTGTTAGACAAGTTGACAAGAGTTCAAACCAGAAAATCCAACAAGATTTCAGTGCCCAAAGGAGGTGCTTCTCTACCTAGAAGTTTGTCTATTCTTTCTCTCTCCATACACCACAAATTAGAATAAAAGATACTACATCTCCAATTTTGTCCTGAAAGGTAGTTTGACAACCACTTAACTAAAGCAATTGCACATATACTCTTGTACTTGTCGAATTACTATATTATGCCTAGAAACTGCTAGAAATGTTACAAGTAAGATATTATCTACACAGACTTCAAGTAGTTATGACTTCCTAAAAAGCAACTCTCCTACAAAACAGGTCCAAGCGCAGGAACAGTTAAAATGGGCATAATATCTGTCTTAAAGCGACAGATATGCAGGGCCTCTCCATTACTGCAGCAGACCTTGACACTAACAATGAGAAAGAAGCAAAAAATCTAAGTTCAAAAATAAAACTAAAAAAAGAAAAGCAAAACCACTCCAAAAGTCACACCATGTATCAAACATCGACTGGAGTTTAACTGATGTATACACTCCTACGGCATCCAATTAATGTCTAAAAACCTGGCATGCAGTTTTAAAAGTATCACAGTATGCTCATCTTAAACTTTGTAATACTTCAAACTGAAATTTTAAGGAACCTGCCAACTCATCATTACCATATTCACTACTTCACTCTCTGCTTTTTCTATCATCCAGTTAATTTAACAATGCCCTCTAAAATCTGCGTGTACACTTCTGCAGAATTACAGTGAGGGTAAAGATTGTAATTTCAGAGGATTTCTAGAACAGCACATCTTAAAACATATTACCACACTGTCCTTACAACATTATCTGACACAGACTACACAAGATATAGCCCATATTCTAAGTTTTGATGTTCAAAACTCTTAGAGAGGGGTTGCTTTTTTTCTTTGTTCTTTTAAACAAGAACAACATTACAAACTCAGAAATGAAATCCGTAGCATACACTGAATATTCCACACACCATAAAGCCTGTAGTAATGTAATGTGTACTTGGAGAGTGGAGATTAATCAAGCTCAGTTTAAGTGCTATAAGAAAGGATAACACCAAGGGAGTCAGTTGGATGATCTCGTTACTTTCATTCTTGTAGTGTTCCAATTATGAGGTTTGTTATTTATTTTTTATGAAAAGCAGATTCACAAAAAAAAATGGGTTCTTTACAGCCAGCAGGATTCCTTCAAGCATGCCCAAAAGCTACATGGTATGCCGAGATAATGAAACAGAAAGCTTGGTGACTCAGTACTTTGTTTCCATACACTTCTCTTTCTAAAGGTTTGTAAAAAAAAAAAAAAATATATGCAATGCTTATGTTTACAGAGTTAATAGAATCTCTGTTACCATTAGATAGGAACACATTTCAGACTTTACAACACAAAACCTAAAAGCAACAAGATTTCAGTACACTGTAAGCATCTGTTCAAAAAAGTATTATTAAGCTGACCAAGCCATGCCAGAAAAACAAGAAAGTTAATCTGAAAAGAAGTATACACGTCCTTCAACTGCTTTGCTTTTTTCACATTATTTCTGCAAAAACTATTGGTAAGAGGCTCTTCATGATTCTATCACTATCACACTAATAAATAATATCCAATTACTGTTCTGTGTTCTCTCACTTCTGTGTACACAGTTGTTATTACTTGCTTTAAACTGTAAGGTCTTTAGTGGTGTGTATCTTCTCTCGCTCCACAACTGTACGTGATCTGTGACTCATTATCATCATCTATGGCTACATGCTCAATTAGTACTACATTATTTTAAAAAGCTTTGAGGTAAGGGTATTCATAAAACTCAAAGAAAGCAAGCTAGAGATCATCACACTGGTTCACTGCCAGTGTGGGACCTTGCAGATGGTATGAAGCCCTACCAAAATGCAACATTTAGTAACTCATGACAACATAACTCAGTAGAGCCATATAGCTTTCAGTGCCCACGTTAGTATCTCCAGACAGAACAGCACTGCTCTACACAGTCTAACATAGGACATGCACAGTGATTTTTTTTTCCCCACAGCAATAGGCTTTTATCTTCTTCACTAATCAGAACCTTTTTGTAACTGGAAGTTTACTTTTACAATCCATATTTGAAGCAGTTTACAAATAACGGTTTGAATTGAAGCTCAAATATCGACACTAAAGCAGAAACATTTTTTTTCTTGAAAAGATATACTGCTCCAATTAAGAGTATGTTAAATTCTTTTCTTGCCTTTATCAATTAGCAAAACATGTTTGCCATCTCCCACTTAACAGAGAAGCACAAGCTTAATCAATTTATTAATAATCAGTTCTGTTTGGTGGCAAAGGCCCAGATACAAGCTTTAAATATAGTTTTGGTAGCCGAGAATGCTTACAGACCATGCCCAAAACGCCGAGATCACCTAAAGTTCTTAATACGAATCCAAACTTAGAGCCTACAGGGCAGCGTCTCACTTGCTGGGACGGTGACGGTCCCAGCGGGACAACCGACTGCACGGCTACACCGGCAGCCTGAGATAACGCCAGGGAGCCCTCTGGGCTTACAAACCCCAGCTGCCTAAAGAGCAGGAAGGCAGAAAAAAAAGACCGTTTCTGCCGCGACCAGCTCCTCCGGCCAGCTCCTCCGCAGCCCCTGTC